CACCTGTGTAAACGTGCCTCCCTTGAACCATCGATCCTCCTCCGCCTTGCGCTTCTTGCTCAGCTCAGCCTGGACTTTGGGATCCACGAGCTCCAGGCCCTGCACTGGTGTAAACGCCAGAGAAGAGGCGGTACCTGCGCCTGTACCCGTGGCAGAACCAAGCGTGGTGCCTACTCCCGAGGTGCGGAGACCCTTCCCGCCAAGATCCATACTGCCAGGCGTTTGGCCGAAACCCCCAATCGAAGAGGTCGAGCCGCCGATGGAGCTAGCTCCTCCCCAGCCTTTGCTCTTGGCGCTGAGTTTTGCTCGGGTGCGTTGATCGATCTGGAGGTTGCGGATGCGGCCGTCGTTTTGTTGGCCTATCATGCCCATGCCGACTGTGCCCTCGCCGTTTCCGTAGCCGACTTCTTTTTCTTCCTTGCCAAATGCGACTCTGTTTTGGGCTTTGCGTAGATCCGTCATGGCCACGGCTTCTTTGGCTTTTCGGACACGTCGGCCTCCGCGCTTTCGGGAGGGTTTGTCGCCGGGGACGGGGAGGGCACGTTGGCCTTTGTTGGGGGGTGGCTCGGTGAGCTTTTCCAGGCGTTCTAGACATTGCGACTTGAGTTGGTCTCCGGTGGTGCCGTCAGGCTTGGAGTGGATGCGATCGACTCGTGCGGCTAGGACGATTTTGGCTGCGACGATTCTCATGGCTTGTTTCTTTAGATCGTTTGGAATGCCGCGGATCATCTCCGAGTTGTAGAGGTATCCCTGTTGCCGGACACCGACGTTGGTGGCCAGACCGGCCTGTCTCTTCTTAGATCCCCATGATGGGAGGTTGCAGGCGGGCGTTTTTGATAAACCCGTCAGACCACCGGCTGCGTTTAAGAGTTGCGCGGCCGTCAGCGATCCAATGAGTGTGGTCAGATTTGGCGCAAAGATATTCATGCGTGACTGGACGTATTCCGTCAGGGTTTGCTTAGCTTTGTGTAGGGCCACCATCATGGCAGAAGCTTGTCGCACTCTAATGAGCTCCTCTGCGCTAAGCTCGTGGCCCTTGGATGTTGTGGCTTCTACTGTGACGACCATGAGCGAGGGCCCGTCCAAAACGGCCTTGAGACCCATATTCATCGGGTTGTCGGTAGAGGTCTGCAGGGCTTTGATGCTCTCTGAGTCCATGGGCCCATTGCCGATAATGGACACCACCTTGGCGTATTCTAGGGGTGTCGTGACGAGTCGCTCGAGCTCGGGAAATCGTGTCGAGTAGTGGTCGCGGATAAACTTGTGTACGAGGGCGACTTCTCCATCAATCATGGTCGAGAGACTGTTGGACTGTGTCAGGAGGTGATACTCAGGGTGATCTTCAATGTTTCCAACGTTCGTTGTCGTCTGCGTAGATGCTTGCGATCGGTAGTGCGCAATTTTCTATAAGAATCGGTCGTTTCCCGGTCAGGGCTAATCCTCTTAAGAGTTCGACTGTAAACGAATATCGTACTGATAGAATAGACGAAACCCATCGGGAGAATGACTAACCTCTAATATCGGCTCCAAGGTCGCCATCAAGCTGGCCACGCTGCGAACATCCTTGACTGCGCCGAGCTGCATCTTCTCGACTTTTGCCTTGGTCGCCTCTGTATCCTCGGCATCCTTCATTTCACCACCTTCGGCGGCATCATCGGACTCGTCTTCATTCTCGCCATCTATATCCATGGCGTCAAAGTCTCCGTTCTTGGGCGCTTCATCGCGTATTAATCCGCCATTCTCCTGCTCCTCTGCTTCGTCTCCGGAACTTCCAAAGTCATTGAGTAGCTCGTCCGCGACCGTAGACATGGCGGCGGCACGATGGCGTGTTCTTCTGGGAGCGTCGAGAGTCCAAGACAGTGATGTTCCGTGTCGCTCTGTGTCAGGTAGAAAGAATGGATTGCGCAAACAAATTCTTGTTCGGTTTTCCCTGACGATCGAGTCTGCGGAGTGCGTGCGACTGCCGAACCAGTGATGTCGGTGGCCAGGTGCCAGAGTGGATGGTCCGTGCACTCCACCGAGTCCGAAGTAGGGACAAACTCTGAGCTTCCATCGTACATCGTCCACCTCTTCATTCTCGCGTGTCGGTCGAGCCATTTATTCCTGCGCCTTGTTCAGGCGCGCTCTACCACTGGCGCAGAGCTATTCCATACCCTAAATCAACGTCAACCCCGAAATTCGGGCAGGTGGCAATTAGGCCAGGAACACAGCTGTGCTCGTGCCAACATGGAGACGTCTCGAGGCCCTCCGAGGGTCAAGAACAAGGGCGCCGCACCGGTTCAAATCAGTGCTGAGCAGCTTCTTCGCGAGGCAGTTGACCGCCAAGAAGTCGGCATAGAGGCGCCGACCCAAAAATTCTCCGACCTTGAGGAGCTCCACGAATACCAGGGCAGGAAACGCAAGGGATTCGAAGACTACGTGCGCCGAAATCGCGTCAATCTGAAGAATTGGACTCAATATGCGCAATGGGAGCTGGAACAAAAGGAATTTGCCCGCGCTCGATCCGTCTTCGAGCGCGCCATCGATGTCCTCCCTCACAATGTCGTCCTATGGATCCGGTATATCGAGGCGGAGATGAAGTCGAGAAACATTAACCATGCGCGAAATCTGCTCGATCGGGCTGTGACCATCCTGCCGCGAGTTGATAAGCTATGGTACAAATATGTGTACATGGAGGAGATGCTGGGCAACATCCCCGGTACCCGACAAGTATTCGATCGGTGGATGCAGTGGCAGCCCGACGAGGCGGCTTGGGGTGCTTACATCAAGCTGGAGAAGAGATATGGCGAGTTCGACAGAGCGCGTGCCATTTTCCGGGACTTCACCGTCGTGCACCCGGAACCTCGCAACTGGATCAAGTGGGCCAAGTTTGAAGAGGAATACGGCACGAGCGAGCTGGTGCGTCAAGTATTTGGAAGTGCTGTGGAGGCTTTGGGCGATGACTTTGTGGATGAGAGGCTCTTCATCGCCTATGCGCGGTTCGAGTCCAAGTTGAAGGAGTATGAGCGAGCCCGCGCCATTTATAAGTACGCGCTTGATCGGCTGCCGCGGTCCAAGTCGATGCTGCTGCACAAGGCCTACACGACGTTCGAGAAACAATTTGGCGACAAGGATGGAGTGGAGGATGTTGTTCTTTCGAAGCGAAGACGGTATTACGAAGAACAAGTCAAGGAGAACCCGAAAAACTACGACGCCTGGTTCGACTACGCCGGTCTCGAGGAGTCTGGCAGAGACGCGGATCGAGTTCGAGACGTGTACGAGAGAGCCGTGGCCCAGATACCCCCGACGCAAGAAAAGCGGCACTGGCGGCGGTACATCTACATCTGGATATTCTACGCCATTTGGGAAGAACTGGAGGGCAGAGACGTGGAGCGGACACGGCAAATATACAGCACGTGTCTGGGCCTGATACCGCACAAGAAGTTTACCTTTGCCAAGTTCTGGCTCCTAGCCGCCCACTTTGAGGTTCGACAGGGTCAGCTCACTGCGGCGCGGAAGCTGCTGGGCCGTGCAGTAGGCATGTGTCCCAAAGACAAGATTTTCAACGGCTACATTGACCTTGAGCGCAAGCTATTTGAATTTGTGCGCTGCCGCATCCTCTACGAGAAGCACATTGAATACAACCCGGCCAATTGCCAGACCTGGATCAAGTTTGCAGAGCTGGAACGTGGCCTAGACGATCTAGACCGCACCAGGGCCATCTTTGAGCTAGCAGTCAACCAGCCCCAGCTGGACATGCCCGAGCTGCTCTGGAAAGCCTACATTGACTTTGAGGAAGAAGAAGGCGAGTACGACAGAACGCGCGAGCTATACGAGCGACTCCTGGAGAGGACGGACCATGTCAAGGTCTGGATCAGCTACGCGCATTTCGAAATCAACATTCCGGAAGAAGGCGACGACGATAACCAAGGCGCAGAAGCAGCAGAAGATGAGGAGCTGCCCCTCAGCGAGGAGGCCAAGGCTCGTGCACGCAATATATTCGAACGTGCTCACAAGAGCATGCGCGACAAGGATCTCAAGGAAGAGCGTGTGCCTCTTCTCAACGCGTGGCTGTCGTTTGAGCGCGAGCACGGGTCTGAGGCGGACCAGGAGAGCGTGCAGAAGCAGATGCCGCGACGGACCAAGAAGAGACGGCGTCTGGAGGATGATTCTTACGAGGAGTACTTTGACTACATATTCCCTGCGGATGATGAGCAGGCCAAGAATCTGTACAATATCATGGCCATGGCGCAGAAGTGGAAGCAGACTGGTGGGGACTTGGCGGCTTCGTAGGATGTTTTTGTGCAGCGTACAACTATCTTTAGGGGATTCATTAAGGGGCCTTCTTCCTGTCGTGTTTTTGTAAGCAAAATAGCCGTATGAAATGTTGAGACCTACATAGTCATCTGTAGACGATGGCAAGTTGGGGACTCTACTTTTCCTCTTTGTATGTGCCGTTCTTAGAGAGAAGTGTGATGGAAGAAGCCTCGCGAGCAATGGATTATGCTACGTGGGTGACACGACACGATTAGGCGAAACTGCTGAAGAAATCGTGCGGCGACGCGTAACGGAGGCGCACATTTCGGGTTTACCTCTTTATATCGCGACACATTCACGGTGTAGTAGAAAAAAAAGTTATATCAACGAGTCGCTGCAATGATTAGTTGAGCAGTCGCGCACGCAGGACAGCAATGTGCAGAGCACTGCACGCTGATTGGTGTGCGTACCTCGCCTGTGGGGGAATAGGCCCACCCAGCGAGCACGACACCACAAAGCTGGGCCTCCGCCCCTTTTTGTACTTGGACAATATCAACGAAAGCAATCACCAGAACGACCATACCTTTGTGCTTATGCACTAGTGCTTGTTTGAACTTTATTCATATATGTGTACCTTACGGTTCCAACAGAGACTCTGAGCTTCGTCGAGCAGTGAGTCAGTGACAGTAAAGCGACCGCCGATCCAAGCAGGGCAGTAATTTCTGACCTTCATAGTGATAATTAGTGGAACTCAATCCAACAAAGGCCGTGTGGCTCAATGGCAGAGCGTCTGACTACGACTGACAGAGAAATCTGGCAATCATCCGTTATCAGAAGGTCGCAGGTTCGACCCCTGTCTCGGTCAAACCACCCGTGTGACACCTTGTCAATCGGCCGTGTGGCTCAATGGCAGAGCGTCTGACTACGATTCGTGCGGAATCAGAAGGTCGCAGGTTCGACCCCTGTCTCGGTCAGGAATACGAAGGTTTACACGGGTACATTGTTTTTTTGAGCTGATTGCTTGCTTGATCATGTATGTATATTTTTCAATTTTTGGGTTTTTTTGGCCGTGCATGTATATTCAATTTTTTGCCCAGTCTTCACCTTGTTGTTCGCCGCAAACTTATCCCTTTTGTGCTGAAGAAGATTTCTCCTCATAAATGCAGATATACACAGCCTTTCATGCTTCTTCATTTTTTGAACTCTGTTGCTCTTTTTCTTTGTGTGTGCGGAGTGTAGCGACAAAGAACGGATGTCTCTCATGTTCATTTCGGTTCATTCTTTTCCAGTAACGTTAACTATCTTTTTTTACTTTTTAGCACAATGTATTTGTGTAAAAAATCATCACTCTGACGCCCATTGATGTAGACAGATTTATTTTATTTGCTTTGACTCTTGAGTCGGCTGCCGATGCATCAATTTTCTACAGGGTAGTGAGCGTGGCCGGTGTCACGGCTGGTCACAGCGGGCACAGTGGGGGAACCGGCGATGAAGCTCTATTAACGACAATAATAGACTGAGGAGCAGAAAAGAGAAGAAGAGAAGAAAGTGCCACCGGGCATAGCCAAGTACCTGGCTGTGCAGAGTCTGCAGCGGTCACGTGACATCGGTATCCAAGTATCACGTGACTAAGGGACGCCTAGTGGCATCGGTCCTCACAGCCCGGCCGGCCGGCACAAAGGCCTTGTCCGACGTCTAATTACAGACAAACCCATTCCCTTTCCCGGCCGACCAATCACACCATCCATCAGTCAGCCCCATTGAGACAAGAACAACGGTATGTCATCCATCAGGGGTAGGGGTAATAAACCACGAAGCACGAGTCTTCAAAAAAAAAAAAAAAAAAAAACCTCAAACTGACATCATCCCAGCAGCATCATCATGGCCCCTCACACCTCCCGCGGCACGCTCGGCCGCGTCCTCGTCATAGGCGGCAACGGCTTCCTCGGTCACCACATCATCAACCAAGCCCTCTCCGACTGGACCACCGAAGCCGTCTCGTCCATCGACCTCCGCTGCGACAAGAACCGCAACCCAGGCGCTACCTACCACGAGTGCGACATCACCGATATCCCCAAACTAGCCTCCCTATTCGAAAAGCTCTCCCCCGATGTGGTCATCCACACCGCCAGCCCCGCCGCCAGCAGCGACACCAGCGTCTCCAAAGCGCTCTTCCACCGCGTCAACGTCGAAGGCACCGCCTCCGTCCTCCAAGCCTGCCAAGCTATCCCCTCCGTCAAAGCCCTAGTATACACTTCCTCCGCAAGCGTCATCTCCGACAACGAAAGCGATCTCCGCAACGCAGACGAGCGCTGGCCCGTCATCCGCGGGGCCCTGCAAAAAGAATACTACTCCGAGACGAAAGCCGCCGCAGAGGAACTCGTCCTGCAGGCCAACCGCGTCGCCGCGCCCGCGCCAGCTGGTGGCCTCGAGAAGGACCGCCAGCAGCAGCAGAAAGGCCTCCTGACGACTGCGCTTCGCCCAGCGGGCATCTTTGGGGAAGGCGACGTACAGACCCTGGCTGGGTTTCTAAAAGCATACCGCACCGGGAAAACAAATATCCAACTCGGGGACAATACGAATATCTTTGACTTTACGTACGTGGGGAATGTAGCGCATGCGCATCTTCTGGCTGCGCAGGCTCTCCTGGTTACGGCGCGGGCGAGTACCGCGCCGCTGGACCATGAGAAGGTAGATGGGGAGGTGTTTATCATAACGAATGACTCGCCGTGTTATTTTTGGGATTTTGCGCGTGCGGTGTGGAAGGCTGCGGGGCATGAGTGGCCTCGGAGCGAAACCGGAAACGGGAAGGGGAATGGGAATGGCTTGCAGGGCGTGTGGACGTTGAGTAAGGGGATGAGTTTGGTGTTGGGGTCGCTGAGTGGTTTTGCGTTTGGGCTGGTGGGGAAGCCGCCTACGTTTACGCGTGTGAGGGCTGTGATGGCGACGATGACGCGGTATTACGATATTACCAAGGCGAAGAGTGTGCTTGGGTATGAGCCGTTGTGGACGTTGCAGGAGGGGGTGGATAGGGGGGTGAGCTGGTTTTTGGAGCAGGAGAAGAGTGGTTGAGTGGGATGAAGAGAATATAGGATGAAATCACCTGGGATAGGGTGGATGGTGAGACAAAAAGACAAGTAGGGGTCTGAGTGAGCAGTGAGGAGCGTCTCGGGTGCGGTACCTAATGTGTATGGATAATGAGGGATATGAGATCCTGGCTAGTATGTAAATCGTGTCATGGGCGAGCATCCGCGGCTGGAATTTGGGTCTGCAAACAGGGGGCGTCGAGGTACATATCCTACAAACCTAGATGCGGCGGTCTAGAACTTGTACTATAACTAATCAATATATTCACGTCCTACTTTTCGAGAATCACACGCAGAAGCAAGCACGAGCACGTTCACTCCGGCGCTGAACCAAAAGCACACACACGCTCAACACAGATGGCCTCTATTACGCCGTGTGAGTTTGTGACTTTTCTCCCGCATGACATGACAACTCGGCCAAGTAAAGAAACACTTCTTCGCCACACAAACGATGGATCGCCCAGTATCACTGCCGCTCACAACCAAAACCGGCACCCTGTAACACATGATCTACCAGCTAATACCATGGTCTGATGTATGTCTACTTTGCATCGCTTTGCGTTGCTCGGATTTCTTATCTTATCTTCTTCTTATTGTCCCCCTCTGTCTTCTCTGACCCCAACTCACCCTCAGATACAAAAAAAAAAACAAAAGAACTCAAACGCCGTGCCAAATGCATCTTGGCTTGATCAAAAGCTCCAACCCATCGCCTCAAGTTTCAACCCCCCCCTTCAAACAAGACGAATCCATCGCCCGCCCGCCCGCACGCACGCAGCGCATTTCTTTTTCGACAAACAAAAAAAACACCAATCAAGAAGACAAAACAAAAAGAAGAGCTTTGAGTGAGGTCTTTAGATCAGATATCATGAATGAAATAAGAAATCTGGTCCCTGACCCGGCGGACCGGAGCTCTCATCAAGAGGAGCAGACAAGTCAAAGAAAAGGGTGATTCAAAAGACCCTAAAAGAAGCCCCTACAAAAAGAAGACGAAGAGGGGAAGAAGGTGAAAAGAATGCCACCGTAGAAATGAAAAATACCCCAGAACGCTCACGAATCTCCCCCGACACCTAATCCACCCCCTCGCTGACCCCACGCAGAGTTGCGCCACTCCCCGCGCTGTCCATCCGAGCTACTCAAGTGGCCATCTGAGTGGGAGAAGCGCGGGTTGTACGGACTTGAGGGAGGCTGTTCGGCCGGCCCTGCCGCACGTTTTTGAGGCGAGTTGCCTTGCTCGTGATGAACGGAGTGAGATGACGCCCCATCTTGGACACGTCGTACTGTGCGCTCGCCTTGCCACACCGCTGGGTCTGTTTCCCCGCGCTTAGGAGGGGATCGACTCGATACATCGGGCCGGTTGTACGCTTCGCTTGTTTCGCCTGCGGGTGCTTGGCCGCCTCGGCGGTCCTGGTATCGCTTGAGGATCTCCTTGGTGCTAACTTCGCCGCTGTTGCTATTGTTGCTAAAGATGTAGGGATCATGGAGCAGGGTCAACAACTCATCAGGTACCTGTACGCAGTGTTAGTGATCTCTCCTGTATCTTTCTTGCATAGTAAAATATTTTTCCGCCAAGGACGCGTGCACATTCCTGGATAAGGCACTCACTTGACACATCTCTTCAATATTGTTAATGAGTATTTCTACCGCGTCAATGACATAAATGGCCTCGCCGTCAAGAGCTGGCGCTTTAGTCGCATTGGTTAAAATGTTGGGAGCAATGACAGTGGCGAGATTGCGAATGTCCATCTTGGATCCCACCTCTTCGTCAAGTTGGTGGAAGGAACCAGCCCACTTGAGAAAAGTAAACAGGATCTCGAGACAGTCTCGGTGGCTCCGGGGCAAAAGACAGCATGTCAGATGCAGGCACTGCTTTCTCCGTTCGGCATCGGGAAGTTTCGCCGCACTGGTCCAGAGTCTGTACAGCTTGTGCGTCATCAAGGGGTCAGGGAGATCGCGAAGATAACGCTTGAGGAGCGCCGCCAGCTGCACAACTGGCTGCTCCATGAAATTCACAACGTCACAGCCCTCCTGGTTGATCTTCTCCACTATCTCCTGCTGCTTCTTGATGTTGCCATTTTTACGGAACACGCCCTCGACCGACAGATCCATCTTGCGCATGGAAGCGATGATGTCGTCCACAACTGCGGGAATGCGCAAGGTGCCGGGTCCGACACCGTCGGTCGAGTCGGCACCGTCTCGTTCGAGAATGATCTCGAGCGGAACGCCAAACACACCCTTCTTCTTGACGTTCTTGCTCTTGTCGTTCTTGAACGCTTTGCCCAGGTTTTTCCAAAAGGTTGGTTGCTTCCGCAACTCGATAAATGTCAAGAGCTCGTCCAGGCTAAACTCCTGCTCAAGCAACGGATGCATGGTCAATACGGCCAGGTGACGAACGTTGAAGGACTCGAGCCCAGAGAGCTCGGGAAAGAACTTGCGAACCATGCGCATCGGTAAGACCTCGGCCGATCGCATATCGGTGTCTCTACCGGCTGACTGCGTTCGTTGATGGCAAGAAGGGCGAATCCCATCCGGACCAGCATGGCGAAACAGATCTCGGCGGGCATCTTGCTCACGCTTCTCCTGCTGTTCCCGAGACTGCTCCACGGCGACGATTCGAGGAATATCGTCGAGCGTGATGGCGTCGTTTTGCCCAAACATCAGATCAGTCGAGCCTTGCAAGTCGAGTCGATTCGCCTCGTCGTCAGCACCAGACGAGCTTGGGCGCGGACCTTTGCCATCTGCGTCCATAACGCGAGAAGATCGTGCCTGGCGAACACTCGTG